AGAAATTGTTGTTCAATTTATTACATTTTCTAAAAGTGCTGTAACAAAAACTGATATCATATTATTTTGAATAGCTTTAGACTGAGGGACACACTTGGTCCAGTTGAAGTGAACTCTGGTGCACTTTAGATAAATTATGTTTCAACAGTGGAGAACAAATAAGTAAAAACAAGTCCATTCCCTCAGTCAGACTCAGTTCTTTTGAAACAGATCTGCTGACGTATGAGGACTGACGTCATTAAACACACCCTGGATTTGGATTTACTTTTGACACTACGACTACTACTAATAAAAAAAATCTGAGTATAAGCCAAGGGAACATATTTAAGGTCCTAAAACCAGCCAGTGAGACAAGCTCTGTAGCCTAAACTGTGTGCACCTTTTGACTGCAGCGTCTTCAAATAAATATTTTTACAAGCGTTGGTGCTCAGTCCATCAGCTCTGAATCATTTTTCTCCCCCCGAGGAGCTCTTAAATCTTAAAGCAACAACGTGAACAAAAGCGCTGTCATGGGCGTGCTTCCTGATAACCCAAGAATGACAAAAAGAGGCAAACACATGCACAGGGCAGGAGGAGGGGCATGTGAGGAGGGGCATGTAAGAATTGTAAGATACTTTTATCAAAAGTACATATACAGGTTCAGTGCTGATGGATGTCGGGCCATATTGTTATTTGTGAATAAACATGGGAATATTGATAATAATAATCATAAAACAGATCTTCCATATTTTCACTCTCTTTCAGGTAGATCTCGAAGGATAGATTGGGTGAATTATTTATTACATGTCTATGTTAAAGATAGCTTTATGTGCACTGTATAATAAATGGAAAAGTGTACACAGGTGAAATTCAGAAATATGAGCATTGTTCAATAAGTCAATTTACTGTATTTCTATAATTCAACTTAAAATGTGAAACAAATACTAATAATCTATACTAATATTAATAATCATCAAAATGTTAGTTGTAATTTTGATGATAAAGGTTTACAGTCCATATTCAAAACATTGTAATTGAGTGTTGTCCCTAATGTTTTAATAGGGATTTGTACGAGTTTGTGAGCCAACTATCAACATTATTACACATACAAGCTTGATATATCTCACTGGGCAAATATTAGATCCACATTGTAGGTTGAATTATTGAAGTAAATAGACTTTTCACCTGTAATGATAATAAAGTCAAATTGCAAATTTTTAACAACAGGCCTCTGGTCATACTTGTAATGGCTCAATTTCTTGTGAGCATTATTAGGAATAGATTTCTGCCTTTTGTTTTGTATTTCTCCAGGGGAAAAGGACGATTACAATTGCACTGGAGCAGAGCCACAGCTGCCTCACGCCTGCACATTAAAGCAGTCCCCCATCACAGCACTACCAAGGCCCCCGGCTGCTTATCATAAAATCTGACATGAAAAACGTACAGCAATGGCATTATAATGTTTATGTTCATGCCTATTATTGCATATTTAACTTCAACTGTTAAAGCCAAGAAAAAATAAACTATAAGAGCGTGTTTGTTTGTTTGCATTGATCAGTAGTAACTTACATTTCTATATCGACCTAAATATGTAAAAGCTCTGTAATTGGTTTGCAAATAATGACAATTTTCTCACACACAGGCAAATTAAAGTGTCTTCTCCAAGCAAGCATGTTCCAATATTTCTAATGCAGATGGCTTTTGGTCTGTCCGGAAAAATAAATAAATATAAAAGCAGTTAGATGAAAAACATCATCAAATTCACTTAAGATGTCAATAGTGTGACAGCAGAGAAGACACAGTGGGAAACATGTCAATACACTGACAGTTAATGTCGTTACAGACATTTGGAGACAAAGGCAAACAAAGCTACTTTAGGGCTCGAGACATCTAGTCGTTTCATCAATGGTATTACTTATTTTGGGAGGATTGGAAAGGTTTTATAATCACAACAACAGCAAAGAGAAAGTAGAGATTGTGAGTTAAATGTGCCCCTTTTCTATTTCTTCCAGGAATAAAAAAAAAAATAGAATAATCTAATTGCCAGACGATATAGGCTGCTATTTTTTCAATTCAATTCCATATATTCTTGTATAGCCCTAAATCACAACAGTGGTTATTTTTTTACACAACCGTTGAATTTGCCAACACAAATCTGAGAATGAAACCGTTCAAACACAAGAATGTAGTTAGACTTTTTTCAAGTTCTTCACACTATATCGCCTATAGAGCTATGGGGCCAATGTATCTAAGAGATACATTATAATATTAAGATATTATAATGCCCTATGTATAGCGTATTACTCCGGACTACCTATATATATATTTTTTGAAAGACTGGTACTGAAGCATTCACAGCTAGCTAAGATACTTGCTACTACTTATTTTGTGTGCTCCCTGTGTGCTCTTACTGTCATGTATGTGCGCTGCAACAATGAAATTTCCCCACTGTGGAACGAATAAAGGATCTCTTATCTTATCTTATTGTGCTTTGTCTGTGACATGTTAATGTTGCGTTAAAAACACCTCATCAGTAAATCATGTGACAAGTTGTTTTGCTCTACCAGCTGTTGGTTAAGGACTAAACCAGTGGCTTGTTTTCAAGTGTGGCCTAAATGTAGAAAAAGTTGACTTTCTTTTAAAATTTAGCGCATATGTTTTATGTACAGGTTTATGCAGGTACTGTGGGTACTCCTATCCAGTACATGATATTGTGATTTTGTCCAGATACATGGTCAAATAGAAATATATTTGTAGTTCTGGCAGTATATTTTCCTAAATCTTTGCATGTAAAATAGAAAGCATGCTTGGGGATTCATTTGTTTATTGTGATGTAAATTTCTTACCACATAGATGTTTACAAGACATTTTGTAGCTAGAGCAATTTTGGCCTGGTGATTTGGGGGAATAAACCAGAACATCATCTGTCACATTACTCTCTTTTACATTCTAGCTGTCAGACCACCCAAAACCTGCCCCACGTTTTTACAAATTGAGAAAGAAATGAACATGACATGAAGAGGACTCATTCCAGTCTTCATGAAGGCCAAAATAAGTTTCTGTCCTAAAACGCCAAAATTGGGAATATCAATGATTATGTGCAATAATACACAACCACTATGTGTTCATGTGACATGTGACCACATTCTTGAGTGAACGTTCTCAATATAACTTACAATTGTAATTAGAACAGTGACTTATGTTTTTATAGAATGCATTCTGTTCTATTTCACATTATAAAACACCCAGGGCCAGGAGGATTCCATTTTATGAAAGATTTATTTGTACTAATGCAGTTTTTGAGTTTGAAAGGGACTTCAAGGAGGCATAATATGCAAAGCCAAGTCTGACCAGCATAGCTAACAAAGCATAGCTGCATTTGTTCCCAGGCCCTCGAACAGAAAATCTAGCGAAGCTATCACAGATTGCAGAACTGGGAACACAGAACTTTCCCTGCATCTGAGTTTATAAGTTTCTCGCTGCTTGTCCTACAATCTTATTTGTATTGACCTTTGTAGCATAACATTGACTAAAGTGTCAGTAAAACATTTTTCCTCACTGTGTTAAATGTCCCTTGACCAAACCTGGAGCCGCCTCATCTAATAAAAGGTCACTTTTGAGGTACAAGGAAGGACAAAGAGGTATTCTGCCTCAATTCAGTTCAATGTATTCTTGTATAGCCCTAAATCACAGTAGTTATCTCAGAGGACTTCACACAACCGTTGAAATTGCCAACACAGATCAGAGAATCAAAAAGTTAAAACACAAAGAATAGAGAATACATTGGTATTGGTCCATAGGAAGGAGTTGACTAATGTCTATTCAGATGTAGCCTCTCTCTTACGCAAAACTGCATGTTTTTTATGTTTGAAAAGGGTTAAAATTTGTTGCAAATCTTGGCAATGTGCGCTTTTCTGTTTTATGTCCCATGGATCCAACACAGCCCATGAGAAGAGCAGCTTGGAGCACAGATCCAAAAGTTATATCGTGTAGGTCTGGCTGGCCAGGCTACCTTTAAAGAATGTAAAGTACTGTTCCTTCATCAAAGACAGAGCTGGAGATGTTTTTAGATCCATCCACTCTAATATAAGGAAATAATATGTAGGTGTACCACTATGGCATTCTTTAGAAACAACATTTTTGTCTATACATTGCAACTTGTATTTTCTACTTACCATATCTTTAATCATTAAACAACGTTTGATAATGACAATGTCAATACTTTTTTTTTTTAGTATGTAAATTTTTTGTCTTTACTTTAACTCTTGCATCAATATTGAGCGCCAGGAGCACAATCCACAAGTTCACTTTTGTCAATGAGCGCTTAGACAGCGGCGCAGTGGAGGGAGCTGTCTGGACTATTTACTGCCAGTGCTGACGAACAAAATGAAGTGTAATACTATATTCATTAAGGCCAATTTTACTGCCCTCTGAAGACTTCACACATTTTAAAGTGCCCGGCCCCATTCCACTCAAGACACGCGTGCCACCTCCCCCGTGTGCACTGCAAAAACAACTTATGTAGGAAATTAAACCATGTTTTTGTGTTGTTTAATGTATTATTACTGATGCATATTAATGAGAAGAAAAAATATAAACAATATAAAATACTAAAAAAATAAGCTGAATGCAGGATTGCACATTTATTGTTATTGATAATATAGAATATAAAATCTGTATTGTCTACGAGGGATAAACTCACACAAATCATAAAAACAAAACAAAAAACAGTGAAGGAAGAAGGAAATAAAAAGCAGCCCTAATAAAATACAATATGTAAAGTTCTGAATGCATACTTTCATTGCAGTGGCTCATGTGATATAGATAAAAGATAAAAGGTAACAATATCCAGCAATTGCGTGAATTCAAGTTCAGTGTCATCAAAGCTTCACATTGATGAGGCTAAATTCAATAAAGTAGTGACTAAATAAAACAGTTTTAGACACAGTGTGTCTAATGTTAATCACATAATTTGCAGTAATCCAAACTTATATGAACAAGAAGTATTTTTTGCAGTGTACCTTGCAGTTGTCTTATGCTTCCTTTAGTTTCTTTGGGCAGCTGTGACTGGAAATGGCCTGTGTTTTTGGTGCTGGGGGAGTTGTTTATGAGCCCATTCAAAAAGATCTCGAACACAGGAAGGAAGGAACTGCCCAAGTGCCACACTGGATCAGACCTTTTCAAACACACTGGGAAGACATCAATAAACAGGCTGTGTAATATAAGCTAATCATTACAATACATGACAAAGTAACATTCAAGAAATTACTCAGGCATGAAAGGAACACTGTAAACTCTACCTGAAGAAAAGTGATGTACTCCTGCCTTCATAAACTAAAATCAAATGGAACTGGTTTAATTGATGTACATATTCATGAGCATAATGCGAGAATTTACAGAGTCACACAATTTTTGTGGGGGAAAACATTACATTAGAAAAGTGTCAACACTGCTAACACTAAGGATGCCAGTTGCCATACATGTTTCAGTGCCTTCAAAACGTCTTGTCTGAAAAGAAACCAAAGGCTGATTTATAATATAAGGCACTTTGCTTATGTATTAATAATATAAAATGTGTTAGTAAAAGGAGTTGTAAATTTGTATTCATCATACATAAATATGCAACTGAGCCGAATTTATATTTGACCAGATATGCGACTGCCCCTATGTGGTACATCTTTCGAGGCCTGTCAAAGCCTGATCTTGTGTGCCTGGGATGTGTTTGAAGACTGCTGGGACTAGCAGGTGACTATGGAATGATTCACTTTGTGTCGTTAGGCAAGACACTTCTGACACAATTAGTCCTAGAGAACGCATATAATCCAAGAAAGTGCTATCTCAGTCTGATGCTTCGTCATCTTCACTGTAATCACATCTGGCTTATAAATAGATGCAGGTCAAGGTTGAGATTGTATCTGTAGTTGAATCCCACGAATCAGAACTAATCACAAATTAAATATTGTGGGGGTAGGGGGTACTCTAAATACAACTTTAAATGGGAAATGTTTTAAAAAGTTTGTTTTTGCAAATGTCCTCTTTACAATAGTGTGCATTGTGAGCCGACCTTGTTCCCTGGAGCAGAGCCAGTGGAAGTGCAGCCGATTTGCTTGACGGGCCCTCAGCTCAGTCTGCTCCCTGTGAGATAAAAGACCCAAGATGCAGAGGTAAGAGCTGTGTGCATTTTCCCACATTGATATCAGAAGTGAATTGGAAACAAGAGAACAGGTTCTTGTTTTAGGCCAGAGGTAAGCCCACTGATACCATTAGTAATTGTCCCATGATAATATCTGCTCAAACAAATAATACAATTAATTTGCTAAACTGCAAATTGAATTGGACACGTATGATAGCAGGTGTCTACCCTGCAAAGGCTAAAAGTAACATATAAGAATCCAGTTTTGCGGATCAATGATCCATACTATATGCAAGTTTTGGGCATTTTGTGCTTTAAAATATTTTTTCATAATGTCCACATATATAGGATGTTTTCTTATTCAGTTCTAGATTAGAAAATATACAGTAGTATGTTTGTCATTCTAAACCATCTACCGCAATTATGATGATAATTTGGACAAAATCACATCAGCAGAATTAACACTTTAAACTTCATTTAATGGTTGTTTCTTGTAGGACCTATTTTAAGCGCCACTTTTATAAAGAAAACTAATCAGCCAATCAAAATGATTCAATACAATGTAACACAATATACAGGACACCAGGACCTAATCAAGTATTATTTAATCTGTACACAGTAGTGATAAACTACTCTAATAGTCACAGGTGCCTTGGGGCAGACTACAAGAAGCGAGGCAACCAGTCTGTGGCATCGGCCCCTCTGACCACCACGACCATTCACACACACACACACACACACAAGACTGCTCATAATGTTTACGAAGGTTGCTAATCATAATCTTATTCCTAAAAGAGTGAATTAAATCAGAAAAATAACATTTCTTGAACGGTTGGCACACAACTTTGAGTGTCTGTATTGATCCACAGAAATGCCATTATGAGCCGAGGGACAAGGGACAGATCAATAATGGAGTCTTCCTATTCAGGTGCAGCTTTTTCTTGTGCTGCTGCTAAGTGCTGTGGACCACATGTAAAAAGCATAAATGCTCTTATAGAAACACTGCTGCTAAAAGCACAAGGAAAATCTATACGCAGACCAAACCAAACAGGCTTTTAAAACTAGACCTTGATTCCATCGAGTGATTGACCGAAAAATAAGAATAGTTAAGGCTGTACATGGACATTCTATGGGTGGTTCAGTGTGGTGATCAACATATATGTTATAGGATGACTCTTTGAGGTAAGTGCTTTGAATTAGATCTAATTCATATAAATGGAAGTACTGCTTGGAATCTGGTGGGTCTACAAATATCTATTTGATATTTACAAAACTCAACTTCAAGAACATGTCACAGTAAAAATAAAACAAATATATCTACAGCTACCAAATTATACTTTTAGTCAAAGCATATTACAATCACCTTTGAGACCTCCTAAAACAGGGATAACATGTTCACTTTTATAAACTGTAATAGATAATAAAAAAATAAAATCAAATTAGTAATTCAGATTGAAAATCATATTTTCTGAAATGAATAATTCACAGGTAATAAAATCAGTAATAATAGGAGCAGTTTCTCACAGGATAAGATTTACTTTGCACTGCACCACTGCCATCTGGAGGTAACAACAGAAAATACAAAAAAGAACAAAAGCCAGGATTTCAGTAAAAACATTTATTTTTTTCAAGTGACGCCCAGCCTCAAATATTTTCTCTCTGTTTGGAAAGAATGATTTGTAAACAATAATTTAGATAAACAGACACATTACTATAGAATAACGAAAATAAGGACATTTGTCTTCCCTGCAATCACAGGAAACCAAAAGGATTCTAACCATATTGTCGGCATAATAGAGAGGATTGCAAGAGCAGGTGACTTGGTCTTCAGATCAAATAAAATCAAATGTAGTATGCTTTAAACATTCAAGTCCAAAACTACCAACGCAGTGTTTAAGATTCAAATAATAATGTTTGGAGAATCTTAATTGAACAAACAATTATCTGTTGCCTTTTCAGGTCAGCTGTAGTTGTTAGTGGATCAATCAATGTATAAACTCCAAATGTAAACACTCATGGTGTTCAAATACATGTTCTCTAGGATCATGTGATTGAGCCGCAACATTTTGAAGAACTATGATTTAGCTCAAATATCCCATAGATTCTATAATGCCTTAATGAGTCTGGTGTGTGTGAATGGTTTGGTATTGGTCGGAGTGGCAGATGGCACAAACTGGTTGCCTCGCTTCTGTCAGTGTGCCCCAGGGCAACTGTGGCTACAGTAGTAGTTTATCACCACCGTGTATGGAGTGAAAGAATAATGACTTGTAAAGCGTCTTTAAGTGTCCAAAAAAGCGCTATATAAAACATATGCATTATTATTATTATTAAAAAAGGTGAGTAACTGATCTGTCAATTTATGGTCCAAAATCTAACATGGAACAATATATTCATCATTTGTTATTGTGACAGGCCTACTGATGACTCTCCTGGAGATGTAACCGCTTTGCTTGAATGTACTGTATAAAAAAAACGGATTTATTTCTAGACCCATAAACGTTTCAGTACTGCCGTCATACTGTAAAACCGATAGCTATTTTATTATGATAAATTGGCTTCATTCTATTGTTCTACACCGAGTAGATCTCTATGCAGTGTTTACCTGAATAAATAAAAGGTTAAATAAAACAAAGATAATAATAATAATAATAATAACATATTTACCATCATAATCTTACCATTTATCTTATAAGTGACACAAGCTGTGATACTAATCAGTGAAATTAATGTTATTAGAAGTTTTGACAAAAACCTTTCAATTTTTAAACTTTTATTTTTAGTATAAACTGTTATCAGGTCCACAATTTGAGAACCGCTGTTCTTATTTTCATTATTTGGGTGAGAGGTGTTCAATTACATGCTCCATAGTGTAATATTTTTTTACTTTGGATTGGGCAGAATGTTTTGAAATACTTCTAAACTACCTAGTTTAGCTGTCCATAATCCAGTGTTTTAAGTATCAATGGCCCTGGATGTATTCATAATATTCACTGGATATGATTATAAATTACACAATAACACGTACACCTTTTTCATGACATTATCGATCAGCTAAAGAAGTTAAATGTCTACAACATTTCAAACTAAATTTCAATGCGGGATGCCGTCCATTGCGTCTGAATTGCAGTATATGGTCTGTTGAAGCTGATTTATCACGTTTTGCTCTTGCTGTGTTGACATTATAAGCGGTACACTATGAATAACCACATTCTGACTCCCCAGGCTTATGTTTGGCATGAGCAACGCACTTTCTTCACATGCTGTTAAGGCACTCTGCTCTAGACCAATATCTGCTGCTGTCGAAACCTGCAAGCAATCCAGTGCTTGTCCACAAATCTCTTCGGGATTCGTAGAAGCCAACATGGTTTCATTGTCTTCTGTTACAATTGTGACTTCTGTCCCTCCTTCTTGGATGAGTGCTTTGAGACTCTCTAACTCAGAACATATGAACGTTTGGTCCTGGGTTCTTTGTATGTACGGCTGGTGAAGTGAGTTTGCAGTTTCGCCAGGACAAAGTTGCGTCAAAAGCACCGTATTGGCTTCAAGAGAATTGGACGTGGCAATTGCTTGCAGGTTTACCTGTTGCATCATTGAGTTGACCACCATATTTTGGCTTTCTTGGCTCAGTAGAACCATGTTTGCTTTATTCGAGTTGTCCAAGTTTGGAAAATCTTGAGATACAATGATTTTTAGCTGCGCATTGCCAAAAGAGGTGTCCATTTGTGCTGGAATATCCAGTTGCGAAGATGTATCCGGAATTAGTGCAACCGTATTGGACTGCGTGGGCAACTGCAGCTCCAACACGTTCTTTTGGCTTTCAATATGCTGCTTTTTGTGACTCCTTAGCGAATCTTCACGCACAAAAGACGCAAAGCAGTATTCACAGGTAAAATCTTTGGCTGCATCCAATTTTGCATTATAACGAGAGCCGGTCAGTTTGGATAATCCTTTAATTTGATGATTCATTCTGGTAACATCTTTGGGTTTATCTCCGTGGACTTTCTTCTTGTGAATGACCAAGTAGCTGCGCTGTTTTGCCGCAAAGTTGCACAAATCACACTTAAACGGTTTTTCGTCCGAGTGTGTTTTTTCGTGAGCATTTAGTGCCCCTCTGCTTGAGCAGGAGTAACTGCACTGGGAGCACTGCATGGGCTGCACGGGTCGGTGCTCTCTGGAGTGTTGGCGTAATGCAGTTTTGTTGGTGCATTTGAAGTTGCACTGCGCGCACTGGAAAGCGTTCTCGGTGCCGTGTTTTATGAGAGTGTGTGATTTGAGGTTACTTTTCATAGCGCAGCGGTAATCACAGAAGTCACACTTGTAAGGTTTCTCCCCGGAGTGGATGCGCAGGTGGCGCTTCAAGTCAGAGTTGATTTTGAACTTTGCTTCGCATTGATGGCACTGGAAAGGAGAATCGCCTGCAATAGCAAAAAAAACTAACTTTAATTAGCGATCAACCGAACAAGTTCGAACACTGTATTTATTTTGAGCTGATTAATGCTATTAAACTTCAATCATTATAATGAGCTCCATGACATGTACAGTATAAAGATACATTTCACAGGGACAGTGAAGTTTATAAGAGTGTACTTGCGATGTTTGAGTAATGCTCAACATGTCATAATGTTGTTTCTTGTGACAGTGACAATCAATTATTAACCCTTGAATAAATAACTATCCACAGTGTTTTAAAGGAATAGGCCACTGTTTTAACCTACTGACATATGTTCTTACCTTACATTAGTCTAGTTGATATGTACAGTTATGTGACGTGTTACACTACAAAGTATAGTAACACAGAAATGTAACATGTCAATTTTCTCAGCGGATAAAAAGGGGAACTATATTGTGAGGCGTACCCCTTTTTATCCGCTGAGAAAATCTAACTAATAATCTGTCTTTAGGTCAGTGGTTAAGAAGTGGTCTGTGGTGCCTGCAAACGTCAGATACTCCATGGCACATTTGCAATAAATTATATTTTGACCCACACACCCACAGGACGTTCTAAGAACTTCTTCATTTGAAACCGAGTAGCAGAGCAGTGAGGGAACAAGATGGGATGGGAGGATGAGATTTTACACACAATTACATTGGCCAAGAAACATATATAAAAAGGTGTGGTTTGGTAAGGAATGGGAAGAAGCAGATGCTTCAATCGTTGATAGATGCCTCAGTTTGTGTGCTATAAAGTTAAGATGTCAGTTTAATTGGCATTTTTATTAAAACTCTTGATGTTAATAAATATAAAACAAAATCTATTTGGCCTACGGATGTAGGAATTACTCTAAATCAGGGGTCTCCAACCTGTTGCTCGGGAGCCACCAGTAGCTCGCCAGTCCCTTACAGGTAGCTCGCCAAAGAAATTAGAATTTAACAAATACACTTAAACGAATACTTATTGACCCATTACATATCCATTATAAGTATAAATATAGGGTTATACAGTATTATGGTGAATTTTACATGTATTTTCCAAGTTTGGTAGTAATTATTAGATCGATTTTTATTACGACTGCAAAAAGGAGTAGCTCTCTGCCTGCTTGTTTGTATAAAAGTAGCTCTCCGATTGAAAAAGGTTGGAGACCCCTGCTCTAAATCTTAGTAAATAAGTAATCTTTATTCATATACCGCCTTTCACAGACCAGAGTCACAAAGCGGTTTGCAATGGTCATTTTTTGGGCAATTGTCCTCTCACTCCACACAGAGATGGGAGCGTGTTTTTAGTACGCTCCTGGAGGAAACCTACGCAGACACAAGGGGTGTGACGATATATCGATTTTTCGATATATCGCGATACTTTCTCCCGCGATTCGATTATCGATATGCATTTGCCAAGTATCGATATCGATTTTGAAAAAAAAAAAAAAAAGTTGATTTAAAAAAAAAAATTGGTATCAATACTTAATATATGGCTACATTACGCATATCCATTCTATTTATCATGAAATAAAGAGTAATTTCTTTTATTTATGCCATAAATTGGCATATTGTATATTTCTGACCAATATATCAATAATTGTCGTATCGCGATAAAATCTTTATTGTGATATTATCGTTATCGTGAGCTTTGTATCGTATCGTGAGGTACCATTAGGTCCCTAGCAGACACAGGGAGAACATGCAAACTCCACTCAGAAAGGCCCTGTTCCGACCGGGATTCGAACCCAGGACCTTCTTGCTGAGAAGCGAGAGTGCTATCCACTCAGCCACCATAGCCTTAGGGGAGGTCATAACCCCCATGTCCCCTTACCAGTGTGTGAGCGCAGGTGCACGGTGAGCTGGCTGGAGTTGCGACTGGCATAAGGGCAGATCTGACATTTAAATGGCCGCTCGTCAAAGTGAATTCGCACGTGTTTCTTCAGGCTGCTGCTGTCGGCGGCCGCGTACGGACACAGATTACATTTGTGAGGTTTTTCTCCGGTGTGCGAGCGGCTGTGCATGTTCAGCTTGTCTCGTCGACTGAAGCGCTTGTGGCAAAGCTCGCACTCGAATGGCTTCTCTCCTGAACACAAAAACGTTTGGGACTGAACATGGTCTTATGATGAAATGTATACTCTACCCTAAATGAATTAATGTAGTACATTTCCACAAAGCTAAAAAGTCTTTGCTAATCAGTCTGAAAACCCGCACCTCAAGTAAAGTAGGACAGTAATACAAGCAGACTCAGTGTTTAACCCAGTGAGCTGCTATAGAGAACACCAATAGGGATGGAATATTGGACATTTCTACAGATAATATTCATTCGATAACAAAAAAATCCTATGCTATGATGTGATACTCCAGAGGGCAGCTTTATCAAAAATGTGTAACGACTAACTTGTGGATAACAGTGATTCAAGATGTTGGAAGGAACTGCAAAATTGTTTTTAAGATTGAAAAAATGATCTACTCAAAATATTACTTTTGTGAAATGAATGACAGGAGGCCAACAGGGAATTTTCCGATCTCTACTGATATAAAACAAGCTTGGTATTATTGTTAATTAGTGCCGAGTATACATAACGAACAGCAGCAACTTACCAGTGTGGGTTTTAAGGTGCCTCTCCATATCCTTTTGCCCATGCTGCGTTTTAAAAGTGCAACCTAAAAGTGTCAAACCATTTTAAGTTATACAACCATTGAGACGCTTTCCACTGCACAGTTCTAATGACTTGCAACTTGAAGTGACAGGATGTACAGTTTCCTCAAGTGTCGTAAACACCAAGGCACCGACCTGAGAAGCAACAGCTGTGTCTCTTTGAAGCCGATGACGATTTCAGCTTCTTCTGAGGAGATCTTTGTGTTTTGCTTGTGGACTTTTTAGCACCTCTCGATACGCACGTTTTAAACGTTTCCCCAGAGACACACCTAGTGTTAGGATCTGAAAATAAGAGGGTTAAAACAGGCACTTCTTTGTGAGGAAACCAAATTCAATATCCAAATTAATTGCATATAATACTGATGCAGTTAATGCATGATGATTGTGACCAAAATGTTTATTATGGTACATTTTAAAAACAAAATACTTTATCATTAAATGCATTGCTTCAGATGCTCCAAAATGCAGAGATTGTAGGAAAATTGTCATTCTGGTCAAAATAAGTAAATACACAACAGGCACATACATTGTTATTGTATTGCCATCTTGTTTGTTGTTTTCAAACATCTGTTTCATCCAACCCCTTTTCAAAACATGTACAGATGTATGTTATTATGTTTGATGGATTTGTGCCGTATGTGTTTTGAAATAAATATCTTGATTGACTGATTGCTATATTGAATTCAATTCCAACTATTACATTGTTATTTTGTTAACATCATCTGTAGAATGATTAACCAAATATAGTGAACTGACCTGTTCCACAAACACAATGATATACAGACATTTGAACAGTTTTGTGCATCACTTTACTTGCTTTTATAACAAAACAAATGTAACTAGTAGTTATTGTAAAATGAGTAATACAAATAATAATACTAACACATTAGCTCTATACCTTTTCTAGTTTTTTTACCGATAAGAGTATTGAGTTGTGATGAAAGTCTAAAAATAAGTAAATCTTATGCATTTATTAAATTTATTTAACCAGTATCTAGTTTGGTTAAATAAATTTAACCAAACCAAAATTTTGCGACAGTAGCTCAGTTGGTAGCGCACTGGCCTTCAGGCCTGAAGGTCGTGGGTTCAATTCCCACCTCCACACCTTCTCCCACTGATGACTGCTGTCATAGTGTCCTTGGGCAAGACACTTAACCCCACTTTGCCCAAAGCCCCCGCTGAAAGATCAAGGCTATGCTCACACTCAGAGAGCAGCCGTCCTCCTGTGGACTCACCACCTGCAGAGGGTCAGTGAGGGGCTGGTGCTATGAGACTTGGGTGGCATCTCTGACTGCCACCCCCGACCCAGAAATGGATTAAAGGGTAGAAAATGGATGGATGGATGGATGGAATCTAGTTTAAGTTAATGTAGGAATAACATGGTAATCTAAAGCAAAGACATTTATTTCCCAGTTTGGTAATGCCAAATGTCAGTACATTTGTGTATAAAGACTTACCAGTCAGGGCGGCTGGAGAAGGACAGGTCACAGAGTCAGAGGACAGGAGAGCGCATTCATTTTGTTTATGAGCCCGAAAAACATCAAGATTATTGAACTGTTGTTTGCAGAATCCACAGATGTGAATATCAGGGCTTACTTGTAGCACCACTGAATGAACTAAAATAAATGTAAAAAAAAATCACAAAAGAAAGCAATTGAAATAGAGCAACACATTTGTGAAAACTTAAATTCATTAACAAAAAAAATCCCGTACGTAGGTAGCATTAACTATTATGCACCTTACCTTCAGTGTTGTATGTAGCCATTGCTAGCTTATTTTGCTAAATGTCATTTAATTTGCATATTATGTACAGTTATCACGAATTGCGAATCAATTCAAAGCGCAAAAATCATTACTCGCACATAGAACATTGTGGAAAAGATATCGCTCAACAGGAACATTGTAGAAATGATGTAAAGAGGAAGACAATTGATAACAACAAAACTAGCTTGCCAGGGCGTTACGACAGAACGCACATGGTTTACGGTAACGTGAGCACGCTGACGTCAAATGTTGCATTTGAAATATAGGAAAAATAAATACTACCGTATTTATTGTTGTGAACAATACATATATCTGTAAAAACTGAATTGTATTACCAATAATTTCCAAAGTTCTCTTGTATTATTACATTGAAAAAGTAAAAAACTAAACTAAAATAAGAATAGTATATTTCAAAGACTAAACCGTGGTGTAGGAAGCCTCACACAGCTGCAGTTTTGGCGGACCCTCGTGGCACCAATAAGACGTCGGAAAGTCATTTTTAAAATCTAGGAGCTAGTTTTCTGTAATCAGACGAACCAATCACTGTCCGTTCGTTAGGTCTGCTCACTCACACACAGCTGCAGACCACAGCCACTTCAACCACATCTGTCTAAACTCCCAACTGTCAAATTTAGAAGACAGCGGAGCAGAGAAGCAGCCTCCTCACCAAACACAACGGTAAGAATAAAGTAGTATTTATTTAAGCAGTATTTCATTATGGGAAAATAATTTTTATTTGTATAGCACACATAGGCAAATTTAGAAATAAAAAATACATACAAAAAAATAGATGCGTATTTTTTTCCCCGCAGACAAATCCGAGAATCCACGAAGGCAAAATGTCGACATCTTCTGGTGGAAATATGTTGCTACATGTTCCCACACGTGGGTACGTTATTTATCCATGCATTTCTTATCACTTTTAATCGAAATTGCTCCGAATTTAATCTGATAAGAGCTTCATTCTTGACTGGAGATAGTTCTATGTGATATGTGTCGTGCAAAAGATACGTTCACTTAATTTGCACTATGTTCGGGCTCCTACTCCTCTGCCTTCGTGTTAGGTATGTACCGATCCAGATTTTGTTGTAATCCGATCCGATTCCGATATTCTTAAATATTGTTTTGCCGATACCGATCCAATTTTTTCTAATATTTTCAAAGCATTAAAAATTTTGCAACCAGTATTACTTTAAAATGATTTTTTTTTTTTTTTATTAAAACGTGATCAAAAATATTGTTTGGCTTTTGCTTAACAGACCTACCGAGTTAGGTCATAGGTAAGAATCACATCAGTATTAAATATTTCACCTTTAAAATAAACTTAAAATAAAATAAATATCAAAGAGGAACAATTGTCAAAAAGCGGCCCTCAACATTCATTATAACAAAAAGAAAAGAGCTGGTACAAAAGCCAGTACTTAACCAGTGTGTGAACTCTGTAAATGTAAACTCCCCGATATTTAACAAATCCGAGTATCGGCCCCCGATACCGATACTGAATATCGGATCGGTACATCCCTACTTCGTGTACTACCTTTCAGGAATTTGATGTGAAACAGAGAAAAGGTGTTGCTCTGAAACATTATCATAAATAGAGGGATGCTCTAATCAACATAATTAAAATTCAAATTAAAGAAAAAAGAAGGGAAACGTTTGTGACGAGCAGTATAGAAAGTGTCCTGGTTGCATGACTTAATCTACTTGCCTATAGAAACATACAATAACTTGTTCAAATGTATGCACTATTTACTTTGCTTTCGCCTATTCATGTTTAGAAAAGGTTGTGTTGAAATATCTTATGGTCCTCTTTCTTGCACATTGTTATAGAGGGTTTAAATTTGGAAATCGTTTCTTTATAAATCAATGATCATTTTCCTCTCAATTTAACAGTGACCATGACTGATACATACAGCTTACTTTCTAATCATAATACACTCCTCATTTTGTACTAAATGTATTGCTGTAAATTTATTGTCCACACATATATAGTTAACACCATAATGATTATTAACATTAATTTGATATGGCAGCTCTAAACCAACTGATCACTGAATTATTTGAGCCACACATTTCATGACTCACTTTGAGACTATAGAGCCAGACTATCCACTTCTGCCGGAGTATATTTTCCTACTTTTCTGATACAGCAGTTGTTCTTTCCAGTGCACTTCTTAAATCGACCGTCTTTACATCTTTCAAATTCAACTAGGGGCAATTTGCTGCTGGGGCTGGAAATGGCCGCTGCAGATCTGTGAAGTGAATAAGCCGTGAGTGTGAGTGACGCGCCGCTGCATTCTGGATGGCAGGCTCCTTAACTGGCTGATTGTGACTGTGAAGCGCGGGATTTCCTTACGCTGCCGAGTTTCCTGCAAAGAAAAGCACACGTCTGATTCCCCTTTGCGCTGAGTCGACAAGTTCTGCAGCCATCAGAGGTGCACGCACACATAAACTCACTCACACTAAACCAAACTAACGGGTTTATGAAGCAGGCTCCTGATTAGCAGTGATGGGCATGTAATTTCTGTCTGCAGTCTCCTTTTCTCTTCTCATGTCAAACTCAAAGCTTTCAAGACTCAAGGTTATTTTTAAATGTTGTCACAACATTTTGTAAAACCTTTTGAATTAAATGTAGTTCTAGGTGGATAATGATAATATAAGCTCAGAGTATTTTAATATGATCTATGTTATGAAATCGAGTGTGACTAGTTCCTCACTCTCAAAGCAGTTTGGTTCCATTTCTAGTTTTCAGATGTTTTTATTTATTTATTTATATTTTTTGTAATGTAGGAAAATAGGTAATCTTTATTTATATAGGGCCTTTCACAGCAGACTCACAAAGCGCTTTACAATTGTGGGCGTTTGTCTTCCACTCCACACAGAGAGCGGTGTTAACAGGAGGCGCATGCCAGACCTATTTTACATGTTTTTAGTGGTAGGGGAACCTGGAGCACCCGGAGGAAAAGTACGCAGATCTCGGTCACATCTTTAGATCAGCTTTTTCAGACAGAAACGTGAAAACGATAGGACCACCCTCACTCACTCATTAGATAATTGTAAAGTTGAGATAGAATAACTTTGATTAATAATAGCTGTATACTTTTCTCTTTCAACATCAGAACTATTTTCCACTTTTCAAGCAGGTCCGCTGTTTGTTTGTTGTCACATGTCTCATGTCACAGTGAGGGACATGAGAACTTAAGACAAAAGCGTATTCTAACTTGTTGTGGTCAGGTTCCAGCAATATCACCTCAAATACCTGAGAATTCGGCTCTAAGGTTGAAACACCTCTGTATGTCTTCCCTCAGGCCTCTCAGCATCGTATTGAAAGTTCAGTTTTAGATGCATAATTTTGTATTAGTCTAATACAAAATAAGAGGGTTAACAAACTAAATACAATTCTTCTCTCTCATTTTGATTCATCATCATATAATCATATCATCAGCCTTAATAAAAGCGTAATTAACAAAACATCCCAATGAAATCAATTGCAGAAACTTCACCTGTATTTGTCACACACATCATCTGCAACTTTCCTCCTCTCTCAACACAATAATCTTGCTCACTCCCTGGACACACGCGCTCCGCTGTGGGATGTCCCGCGGTGCCAGTCCTGATTTGCCTGCGGTCATGTCTTTCCTCGCTGTTCCGTGAGTGATGTAATGTCCCTCTTTTCCCTGGGGAGACGAGGGCAACAATGGGGGGCTGGTCTCCGTCACTGGGTTTGTCGCACGGAGCCACGCCAGCTGCTTACAGAGGCTTAATGGCTGAGAGCTGTCAGAAGGCATCAGGCCGAGCTGCCACACAAGCTTTAATTACACACGGACTGGAGGATGTGAGCTGCAATTACAGTCTACCACCACCTGAGGGCAGCCAAACAATGCGGCTTCCCCACTGCAGGCTACGTTAAAACTGGGGTACCCAACTTCTATACCACAGAAAAGGCAACTATGTAATAAAACCTATCTTACTAGTTCCTCACTATCTATATTTGGTACTAGTTGCCACATGCATTTTTCTTTTTCTTCTGTCATATCTTCTGATCAGATTTTTCAGACAGAAAAGTGAAAAAGAGAGGACCACCCTCACTCAGCCAATCAAAGCCCAAAGCATGAAATGGTGACAAACGGTGCTCTTTCTTACAATTATGCATAAGATTGTTTTTGAATAAGATCGAGACATTATGTAGTGGCCTGATTTTGTTTACAACATTCTATTTTTGTTAGGTACCCCAGTTTTAAATTCAAGTGGCAAGGGCAATGCTGTAGAGTGGATCTATATGAATCTTTCTAGGGACACATATGCAAAAACCTACCAGTGCAGTGTATTGATTGTATTATCAAAAACTTGCCTGAGTTGATTTGACTTTGTTCATTCAATGTACTGGATGTGCACATAATTTTACACAAAAGTCTTAAAACATCTGTCCTTAGGGAGCGTGGGCTTTAATCTTGACCTTTATACTTGACCTGTACGTCTGCTTCTTTGGCTGTAATCTTTCAAAGCATGGCATAAAACACTCCCATGGAGCATGTTGTAAAGTGTGTTTTATGCGTTGTATTTCCACTGAGCGTCAACTCAAAAACATTGTAAACACTTTCTGGTTTAGTCCCAGCTCTGCCTCAATTTTGGCATTTTTTTGGCTGTGTTAACGTTAAACTAAACTAAAATAAAATATGAGCTCGTAGTGCTGTAGGATATGCAGTCGATCGATGATTGCAACTAAAATGGGGGCGTAACAAAAGCAATCAAAACTGTGTTATGTATGGGACCCACACTGTAACTCGACTTTTGACGGAAATTAACCCCATTTTTGTATTTAAACTATTTATTTCAACCTGGGAATTGAGAGTTTGGAACCCGCCCGGGAACCCATCTCCAGATGTTGATGCTCACTGTAAACCCTAACTTCAATCGTACTTCAGATATCAAAGTTATTTTAAATAGATTTTTCCCAGTAAGTAAATATTACTCATTTATTGTTAGTTTATTTAAAGCTTGCCTATGTCACTCAGGGTTTTCTTTGAATTGAACTGTTTCTGTTCAAGTAAACCTCACTTTTGACATTTTGACGTGTAGAATCTTTAATGAGGCAGGCATGATAATGCCAGGATGGCCTGGTGGCTGAGTGGGTAACACCATTACCTCTCAACTACAGGGTACTGAGTACAAATCCCGGTCAAAACTTAAGTAGAAATTTAAACTTTATTGCAATCACTTGAGTTTACTTGGTAATATCAAGTAAAGGATGTACTCGAGGAATTCAAGTGAAGTTAATACGCAATTTATTTCCATGTTTTTTTCAAGTAAACTTTACTTGTCAGGGTTTACAGTGCTCGGCTTGGTCAGGTCTACCGGAGCTGGAGGATTTTACCTAGTGAGCATGTTTTTAGTGGTAGGGGAAACCGGAGTACCCACAATAGTGTCTTGTAAACAGAGTGTGCACGAGGAGAACTGGGCGCGTGCACGTCTCTCACACATGTTTTAGTAGGCGTTCGCTCTCCTGAGCAGGTAGAGTTTGGGAAAATCCTATACCTTTAACAGCTGGAAATAGTTCATAATACCCCTGCCCTGTAGTGCCCAGACCTGAAAAGACCCCAAAAACATATTTAGACATCAAATATTTATCCTTTTCTGTCACCTTAGGGCCTAGAGCTTGCGTGTGGCTGCAGGTCGCTGGGTGTGGAGTTTGAGTAATTTTTCTTATTATTAATTCATGTCATTTCCCCTTTACGATTCAGAGGAGGCCCATTCGCCGCTGCTGTTCTGTGGGGATTATCATTAAGAAGAGTTCAAAGCCATGTTTCAGCTCGACCCAAGGTAATGTAAACAACATGAGTAATACTGTTATTTTCATTATAGGTGTAATAAAGCTTTTCATGGCATTGGAGGGGGAGGTGATGGTGGAGGAGGCAATTATTACTATTGATGACATCGTATTTATTTTATGAGAAACTTTCAAACCAATCAGTCCATTTAAATATTAGTGGATGGTTTGTTGACTAATTAAACCTGCAAACAACAACTTTCTTACCTTTTATCGATTTCATTGTCCTTTACAAACATATAATTTAGTGTTGAGTGGGGATGTAGAGATTATTTACTCAATTTAAAATGTACATTACCCAGGAAACACAATAAGCATAAACCACAAAAAAAAAAAAAAAAGGTGGTAAATCTTGAAGCAGAATTACCAAATTGATAATGTAACAATAAAGCAGACCCAGCAAAACTTTTTTTAAATGTACAGTATTGCAAAACGCCTGAACTTAATTATCCAATGCTTTGCTGTTAAAAATTGTACCGTAATGCATAGGGGGAAAAAAACAATCATACAGAAAATGTATGATGATTTTTGATTTTTCAGTCCAAAAACATAAATTATACCTTCTTTTGTTTGGATATCACAGATGAGAAACAAAACAAAAAATCAACCAATGAACAAAATATAAAACTTAAAGTGTTGCAATAATTATGTTCATTTCAATGCAGATGTCAGGCAGTAGGGGGCGTCCCACATCAGGACAGCACACTACAGCCTCTGCTCCAGTTTGAAGGAGGTGACATTTGGAAGCAGTGGGTCAGCAGAAACAAGAGCATGTATCAAAGTGAGTCCGATCACCACACATTCAAGATTTATGGGTTTGTTATAACAAGAGCTAATTCTGCCTGCTAAGAAATGTGTTATCACTTGCTAGGATAAGATAAGATAAAACTTGGCTTTTTTATGTTATACAAGAAAGAAACAGAAAAGTGAACACAAGAAGACCAGCTAATCTGTACTTTTCCAAAGGCATCGAATAGTGACTCATAAAATCACAATGGCATGTTTTCTAATATGAAGACAGCATCATGTGGTCTGATTTGTTCACAAAATTACAGTTTTACAAGACTCTTTGTTGGGAGAAAACGTCAAAAAATTGTCCGTAGTAGGTAGTAAACTACCATAGATCCTGTCAGGATACAGCAAAATAACGTTCTGTTTTTGGTTCCTTTGTGGATCGGCCTTGTAGAAATTTGTTGGATTTGGAATGGTAAATGATTATCCACAACTCACTCTAAATAACTTGGAGTGGATTCATGGTGTAACATTTATAACATGGTTAAATGTTAAATACACATTCTTTAGTTCTGTAAAAAAAAAAACATTAGAATGCAAGGCATTCAAAATGTATTTTGCGACTGCAGATTTTCACAATGTAAAATGTGTTGTACTTTTTAAACAAACATTTAGTTAGGTAAAAAAGCACAATTTGTGAACTTTTACAACAATTGTTCAGTGGCATTTCTCCCATTGTACAAAGCGACATCACATCAGCACTTTCTACAATCTGAAAACGACCGATTCAAACAGTAGATTCAGGTAATGTTACTGTAAAAATGTCATGAAGGTGAAGTGGTGAATCTTGATAGCTGGACAGGCGCACGCACGCGCACACACACACACATACAGGGCGTCATGGGGCCACAGAGGGAGCAGCCTCATAATTGGACGGAGGTGTCTGTAGATAATGAAGCAGCCTTCGCACCTGCCAAACCTGGGGGATTTCACTTGACTGGCCACTTAAATCTTCCCCAGTCTGCGGCGCTAGGAGGGCAAGAGACAGAGGAACTAATGGAGAAGAAAGCCTCTCCTCCATATGAGCAAGTGCACAAGCGAGGGAGGGGTCCTGTCACTGTCACAGAGGAGAGGTGGAGGGGACAAGCCAAAAACCAAGAGTATGGGGCCTAGACTGACATTACTCAAGCAAAAGTAACAAGTAGTGATCAATGAACAAGTGCTTTGTGATTGATTGATTAAATAATTGAATGTTGTTTGCAAGATTATGGATCGGATTGTAAAGGGTGAGGACCATGGCTGCAGTTATTGATTATTTCTATAATCGAGTATTCTATCGATTATTACCATTGTTTCCTTAAGGAATTTTATATTTCAGAATAGCTTAGCATAAAATGTCATCCATATTTTAATTAGAGCAATGTTGGCACCAACAAGAAACGTGTATGTGTAAGATAAGTTCTGGAATTAGTTCTATGAAGTCAACTTATGAAGTTGAAGTTGATTGATTTAATTGCTTGTTCACTTAGAATATATCTCTTATTTTAGGAAAATGTTTTTGGTTTAGGTTTATTCGAAATAAAATCTTTAAAAAGCCTAAAACGTCTTTGCAGGTTGTTTAAAAGATGGTCTGGTTTTAAGAGTCAAGTCCTGAGTCGAAAGAAGATACAATAATAGCTATTAGCTTGTCATTAGTACCTTTTAGCTGGAGGACTAGAGCCGCATTTATGCTAAAGATGAAACTTTGCAAAGGTAGATCACCAAGCCTTGTTCCATTCAGTTCCTTCTCCCTCTCTGCACTTCAGCGTAACTCCTCTGGTGTCAAGGATTTCAGTCGGAAGAATCGTAGAAATGCTGCACTGGCAATTTTGTTTCAAACTCTCCAAAACACTCGGCTCTGCTCCTCTCCTCCCCGTGCGTTGTCTTGGGTGACAGCAGCAACGTTGTGTGCGGTGGGATAGAAAGAAAAGCGCATTGTATCAGCTTTTAGTGGCGTGTCATTCCACCTACTGAAAGGGAAATCACATCGACGCCTCAGCCAGAGAAGCGAGCACTTGTATGGAAAGTTTACCTGACATTCACCACACTGTATCACTGCTCTCAAAAAGACGGCAATTAGAGAAGCGAGTTTACCTCTGCAACAAACCTTAACAATTTATGAGTTACAAAATGCATTCTTTTCCCATGCGTTTTTTCTGGACGTGATCTGTAAATGAGCCTTGGGAATCA